CCCTCCTGAATAGCCAAATTCCAAAAACGTCTTTTAACATTGCCTGGCCTTTTGAGTCGCAACTGGATCTGTCGGTTTTGGGCTAAGAGCGACTTTAATTTTACTCGCCTCTGCTGCTGCGCTGAAAACTGAGAAAGACTGGGTAAATTCATTTCTCATGGTCGTGAATTTTTCTGCATAGCTAGGCTGTAGATCCAAGGGGGGAGCAGACCAGAAAATATTTTAAAGCACCGAGTTTTGCTCAGTGGGGTAATATCCTTCTGTCACTAAGGTAAATGGCATTGGCCAGATTGCGCAGGGTGGGCGTCAAACAAAAACAGTACCCCAGAATTAGAATCACCAGACTGTGTTCATCGAAGGGAGTCTTCTGATCATGAATCTCTCAACTTTAGTATCTTAAGGGCAAGCAAAATGCCGCCTAAACGGGCCGAGAAATGATGAAATTCAGTTAACAAAAAGCTTTCCGTCAGTGATGAAAAGTTTTTCTCAGAGGTATACGCGCAGGTACCTGGGCTTTCTTAAACAGAGACACCAAGTTTTCTTCATGCTAACTCCTTCCTCGGCACTTTCGTTGCGTACATGGAGAGAGAAGGCCGAGACAGAGTAGTCGTCACGCGCAAGATATCTGCGGAATAAATCAGATGCGACAAGGCGTCGCAGTTAAAGAGGTAGTCAATCTCCCCGCCTCGCATTACTCCGGAAATTGATCCCCGTCCGACTGGCTTGCATCAACAACACTTGACTAACATAACGGCCTTTCTCGGTCGCTTGTATGGTTTGGTTATTAGTCTTGCAGAAATCTTGGTATTAACACACTAGATCTCCTGCTCTTTGAAATAACACAAACCAGCAATTAACTTTGGTATTGGTAAATATCCTGAGCAGTTAGAGTTCTTGATTCGGCGAAGGACGTTGCCGATGCAGGCCTTGAGCTGATGCGAACTGCCACCAGCCAATAAGGACAGACAAATAAAAGATTGTTAGCCGATTAAAATTAATTAATGGGGTTATACTTCTCCTCGCTACTCTCACGCTGTTGTGATCAAGTTCACTTTATCCGTCAATTGTATAGGTAACTTATAATAAAGCATTACTAACAACGTGGTCCATATCTCCGCGATCAAGCGCTGGACACGAAGTCAGGAGATCGGAACTTAGATGTTGTTTAGGAACAAAGGTTTTCGGCTGTTCGAGTTCCCGACCCCCATAGTCTGCAGTGAAACATTTTTTTAATTGTAAACAAGTTTGAAATACTTGCTGTTAGAACGAACAGTCGGAAGGAGACATCTTATTTAATGTTTGTTATGTTATGTATTCGCGAGCAGCTGGTGCCAATATCCCTTCAGTCAAGACGCTAAAGACGGATCATAGGAAAGGCAGGAATTAATTTAAGGCATATTACTACGCCATATACAACTAAGTGGCACGAGTAATTTTGTAGGCTTAGTATTGCAGACTATTTATACAGAAAGAAAGCTAAAGGAAAGCATATACTCTGAGAAGATGTAAGACGATCAAACGATGTTGCCAACTAATCTGACTGGACGCTACTAAGATAGTGAGTAGCGACTGTCTGTTTTTGTCTGGGTCAAATTACCCAATTTTAGATTTAAAAGACTAGTTTGGTTCTAGTACCCCTACCGGGCGACTGCCGACAGCGCTCTAGGCAGGACTTGAAAGGCGAAAACGAATGCGTATGTTACGCACTGTAACTGGATTTATAGATGGCCCTTTAATGCCCATCTAAAATTTTGCGCAACTTTTTTTCTTATGCAGTGAAAATTCACAGAAAAGCTCAATAGACTATCCCTCAGGATGCTCTCCGGAACCTCATTTCAGATGTCAATATAACTGCTGCTGCAACTTCTTGTCTGGAAAATTTATTTTAAATTCGGCCAGGTAGCTGCAGAGCCTGGGTGTTCGGATCGATGGCCTTTTGAAGTTTGTCATTTTGCCATCTCGAAACTACCCATCGGGAATTTCTGACGGTCGTGTAGTTCAAGCCCAATTAGGATTTTAGTCAGATTTTGAAAGGCGGATATATTTGACAGATTTTCATCTCCTACTACAAATAGTCAGTAATGTGCTCGAGAGTGTTGCCCATAACCCCTTTCACTTGCTTCGCATACATTTTCATTTTTGGTCGTTAGCGGTCGCCATCCACTGTAAATTAGCGCCAGAAGGTATAAAGCATGTCTATATCCTTCGCCAAGCTTCCTCACATTTCGGTACATTATGCCCTGACTGTAAGTACAACACGTAAAGTAACCGGATATATCCTCAGGCACTATAAAACTGAACGGGCAAGAGCCCGACTCTGTAAACTCTGTATTAAACCTGGACTAAAGTAGTGCCGTTATTATTCAGCTCCTGCGTGTCGTTGAGCGGAAGAATGTTGAACCCTCCAGTATCCTTCTCTCAAAGGAATAATCCCCCTGAATTATTGAAATTTGGCCTAGGAAGGACGATATTTATTCGCAAACTTTGGTGCTCTGCGTCTTCATCGATTAGGAAAAAGGTTAGTTCTATTATTCAGGTTAATACGTAACCCTACTTTCAACCACCAGAATACCCTGCTCTGTCATAAAGATCTGCACAGTGGTCATCATGTGGTTGCTTAATTTCTCCTCTTGCGCGTACTGTTGGTCAGTACTTGTTTTTTTTATTTTTAACGCGTTCGCTATTTGGAAAATAGGGAGAAATATCCATCGCTGAAACGGGTTCCAAGTCGCAGTTTGTCTTCCGGAATGAAAGCGATGGTACTGTGGAGCCTTTTAAATATGGTCAAGCGGGCGAAATCGAGTTCTCATGGATTAAAAAACCGGCACGTGTGTGACACAGGTAGACCTGGACTTCACGTTATATCACTCGGTTTGCTCAACTTCGACTCCAGTCAGCCTGACAGGTAGAACCCAACAAATTTCAGAAGAGGAAGTAAGACCTATGCCTCACAGACTCTTCTAAAATAACTTAGACGCTCATCAAGCTCTTCCGCGGAGGAGACTTTTGTAGATTTCGAGGAAAGGACGTTTGCAGTTAACAAAAAGTAAGAGTGTCTGGAACTTGAATTCTGACTAATTGGCACGACCTCTGCGATTTTGAATGCTTGTTCCTCAAATAATTCTTCCTAACAAAGGATATAGCTGCAGAGGGACTATATACTGGCATATCGTGTTCCCGGTGTCGACAATGACAAGGGAGAACTGAATGACCATTTCTGAGTTGTTTGCCGTCATTAGCCATATATTCTCCCGGTCTTTAATCTCGAGAGTGGATGCATAGTTAGTGGCTGATCACGTGTTTACTCCGCCGGGGTGCTGTGTTGGTCCGGCCGTGCCAGCCACCTAAGTTCCCTCCCGCCTCTGGTCTTTTTGACTGCGTCTGGACACCATACCTAGGTGGGGGAGGGGAGAGTGCGGTGGATGTTGCACAAGTCTAATATCACTTCAAACTAATTCACGCGCAACTCACCGTGCCTGTCCTCAACTTGATGTGGAGCACACGGTAGACATTGTTGGCCACAACAGTCAAACTGTCGGTGTGTTGCATTTTGCGGTTGAACAGGCTGATCGCCTTTTCACTTAACGAGTGGATTAACACATCCATTTATGGAGGCCCAAAATTATTTATTACGAATTTGCGGTCGCTAGCGAAGAAACGGTTGCGTAAATTTGCAGATTTTATAAGCTCTAGGCACACAATAGGCTCAAACTTACCTGTTTATTCAGAAGTCAATCACATCAGTTTTTCTGTCGTTCTAGGTTGCCTCCGGTCTGTGCACAACTCCAACTCCAAGTGGTGCGAGAAGGCGGTCGACAGCTTCCGAAACGTTCTTGACATACGGAAGAGCCCGCCCGTGCGGTTAGGCCTTTCGCCCCTTTTGCTTATGCACCGGTTGACAAAGTTGCGCGGATAGCCATTGGCTTTTAATACACCTCGGAGGTACTGCAGTTCGTGAATCACCCGTATCTGCTGTTTTCTCTGATGATGGATTCGAGCAGGAATCCGAAACGTCAGGCTAATAAAGCTCGTCCTCGCGATCGTGTCTCTTTCTTCAAAACATTCCTCCGTCTCCCAATGCGACAGAAGGTCACCTGGATGCGTCCTCGGTCGCGTTAGTGGGAACTGTTGGACTATGTTCTCATCTTGAGGCGTGGCCAGCGGGACGTGCTGGTGCCAAAGGCGATTCAAAGTGCTGGCGGGTAGACCGACCATCGCCTCGTCATCTCGCCTACAGCCTCGTAGAAGACCTCTAGGCAAGCTGAATATTGCTCTGTTGTTTTTGCCTGCTCACCATTTCCATTTCAGCAACGAGCTAGCTTAACGGCTATCCAACCTACCGGTCGCTGACGCCGCCGCTGACGAGAACGCCTCCGTTTAGAACCGATGGTGACAACTACGGGATACAGTCCAGGCCACAGCCCTGGCCGTCCTCGGTCACGCACGACGCTAGCACCAGGACTGGTTTGATGACAACGACGCTACCATCAACAACCTGTTTGCCGAGAATAACCGCCCACACGAAGCCTACGTAAACCGTCCCACCGAAGACGACAAAGCAACCTTCTATCGCAGTTGCCGCCTTGGACAACAGCGGCTGCGCGAGATGAAGGACGCTGGACGGCTTGCAAGGCCGAGGAGATCCAAGGGTACGCGGACCGCAAAGAATGGAAGGACGTCAACTCCGCGATCAAAGCTGTCTACTGCCCACCAAATAAACGTACTGTACCGCTTCTGAGGACCAACGGCAGTACCCTACGCACTGAGAAGACACAAATTCTTCAGAGATGGGCCAAACACAGCAGAGGCGTCCTACACCGTCCCCCACCATCTCCGATGCCGTCATCGCCTGGCTGGCCCAAGTGTAGACCAACGCTGACCTCGACCTCCTGCTCTCTCTCTATGAAACCATCAGGGCCGCGCAACAGCTCTCCAGCGGGAAAGCGCCCGGATAGGACGTGATCCCTGCTGAGATCTACAAGCACTTTGGTCTCCAACTCATGGATCATTTGACGGCGCTCTTCCAGGAAATGTGGCGTCAAGGACAAATCCCCCAGGATTTCAGGAACCCCACAGTCGTCCACCTCTATAAGCAGAAAGGTAGCCGCCAGCTCTGTGACAACCACCGAGGCCTCCCCCTACTGAGCATCGCCGGGAATATATTCGCTCGCATCCTTCTTAACCGCCTGAACAAAAATCTGGAGCAGGGCCTCCTGCCGGAAGGCCGGTACGGCTTCCGCCGTATTCGTGTGACCACGGACATGATCTTCGCTGCCCACCAACTTCAGGAGAACTGTCAGGAGATGCGGACCCGCCTGTTCTCTACCTTCATGAATCTGATGAAAGCCTACGACACGGTGAATCGCGAAGGACTGTGGAAATTATGCAGAAATTCAATCATCCCGAGCGATTCACTGAGATTGTGGGCCAGCTCCACGATGGCGCGCGCCACGGATGAAAGAGCTGTCGCAGAGGCATTGGCACTGACCAAAGGAGTAAGGCAGGGGTGCGTCCTCGCACCTAAACTCTTCAGTCTTACGTTCTTTGCCATGCCGATGGACGCCTACCGTGACGAGCACCCTGGGATCCGCATCGTCTACAGGATGGACGGCCACCTCTTCAACCACAGGCGGGTGTACTTCCAGTCGCGTGTATGCACAACCACCGTCCACGAACTCCTCTTCGTCGACGACTGCGCCCCCAACACCACCTCGGAAGAGGACATGCGAAGGAGCATGGATCTCTTCGCCGCCGCCAGTGAGAACTGCGGCCTAATAAGTAACACGGAGAAGATGGTAGTCATGCCCTAATCGCCACCCAACACAGCCCACAATGCGTCGCAAATCAGCGTGAACAGCACCCACCTTCAAGTGGTGAACAACTTCACGTATACGGGCAGTACCCTCTCCCGCAACACCAGAATCGACTATTAAGTGGCCCACCGGATTTCCAAGGCCAGTCAAGCCTTCGATCACCTTCAGAGCACAGTTTGGATTCGAAGCGATCCTCAACTCAGCACAAAACTAAAGATGTACAGGGCCGTCATCCTCCGAGCGTTGTTGTTTGGAGCAGACTTGGGCGGTGTATATGAAGCAGGCACGCAGACTCAACCACTTCCACTTCAGTTGACTTTGCAAATACTGAAGCTGAGGTGGCAGGACCGAATCCCCGACACATAAGTCCTGGAGCAGACGTGAATCCTCAGCATCTACGCCATGCTGAGACAACTACAACTACGATGGATCGGCCACCTCGTACGGATGGACGACGATAGGCTATCCAGACGACTCTCCTGTGGAGATGTTGCCATGGGTTTCCGCCGCCAGGAAGGCCAAATCCGTCGACACAAGGATACTCTCAAGACATTGCTGAAGCGTCTGTAGATCAACTCAGCCAACCGGGAGGACCTCGCTCGAGACCGATCGACCAGGAGGAGGACCGTGAAGATATACGGAGCGATCTGCGAGGCAAACCGCATCACCGCCTCCAAAGCCAAACACGAGACATGCAAATCGCAACCGCCGCTGCAGCCGCCGCCGCCGCCTTACAACGCCAACGCACAACCTCCCCCAACGAGTCCACGGTGTCAGCGGACATTCCGGACGCCAAGTGGATTTGTTGAACACTTTCGGACGAACAGCGGCACCCGGACTGCAACAACCGTCGTCTCTCCCTCCACCTCTCCCTTGTCCCCCACGCCGTCAACTAACGTTGAGTGCCCTCCCGAATTACCACTACCATCCTCCTCCACCGCCTCAACGTCTGCCTTTGTGGCGTCTGCCATGCAAATCAACACTACTCACAATCCTGACGCAGCAAAAAACGCCAACATCACCATCGACACCAGTGGTGAGGACCTGGATTATACCTGTCCTACTTGCGACCGCACCTCCACCTCACACCTCGACCTGGTCGGCCACTTTCGAATCCATCGCGCAGAGACTGGCGAACCAGTGCCTGGAGCACCAGCCTTCACCTACCGCACCCGCTTCCACTGTCCTCACTGCCCTCACACATTCATGCGTCGCATGGGCCTGCTCGGCCACATGCGCATCCACGAAAACCTGCGGTAGACAACCGCCGTCTGCCCCACACCATCACATCCTCCCTCAAACACCATCTCCTCGCACATCAGCATCATCCACCACAAGCATCCAATTGCGACCTCCTGCGCAAATGGGAAGTGTGCGTCTTGACTCCGTCCATGTGGCTCCCCACCTGCAAGTGTGACTCGATTCTGAGACTATCACGGCGCGTCAAGCGCTGTGGCTTTGAAGGCTGCTGATTAATGCCTCAACTCAGTCCACGCAATTCGTCCAGTTGCGTGCGTTTGTGTGGAGTGGCAGACTGGTGGGCTGAGAGCCAGGCTGAAACAGCTCCTTCCAAACGTGACCAACGGCATTCTCATGCATGTCAGATGTACTCCGATCAACCCTTTTTGTGTGGAATCCTGGTGTTTGTGTTCGGGGGAGCAGGTCGTGAATGTGACGCGCGCAGACAAGGTCACTAGATATGTCAGCCACCACGCCAATTCCCTGCATCAGTCAACTGACCGGCCCGGACAATGACTGGGGCCTGGGAATGGGAAGGGAGAGTGCGGCCGGCTAATCAGCACATTTTCCTCACTATAAACAATCTGACGCGCTTGAAGCTATCACGGTGCGCTAAAAGCCGTTGCTTAGAAGGTTGCCAACTGACGGGATAACTTGAACCTCGCAGTCGTCCCAGTGTTGTGTGTTTGACTGGAGTGGCCAACAGGTGGTCTGAGAGTCAGGCTGCAATGGTTGCTTCCTAATGCGGCCTTGATGGAACTCCAGCTCCGTGGGATCCGAGCCAGCTGTGGCGGCACGCCTAGATGCAGCTTCGCCCGTGCCACCCTCCATTCTTTGTTCTTGGTCAAAACCGGGTTATTAGTTGTGTGAACAAGGGGATGTGGGTTGGAGCGCCAAGGCGCGGGCTCGACCGTGTCATCCACTTGCGCCCTCCACCGTCTCCGGTCTTCTTAACTATGTCTTGACACCGAGTCCAGGTGGGGGGAGGCGGGGGGGGGGCGGAGAGAGTGTGACAGATGCTGCGCAAATCTACGTTCACTGTAAACTAAATCACGCGCAAGTCACCGTGCCTGCTCAGCCTGCTTGTGCAGCACAGGCTGTAAGCATCGAACGCAAATGCAACAGCGGGTCTAGCTAAAAATTATTCCGGAATTGAAAAGCGTTCTTAAAACCAAAATATGTCCTTTCTCTAAATGAACGATTTGAAGAAGACGTAACGTGCTGTCAAATGAGTGAATGAAGGCGTTGTGAACGTGAAGGACACGGTTGTCAATCCCATGTTATTGATATCAGGGCAAGGCAGGAGTTATGGGAGAATAAATAACTAACTGTCAAACGACCTGGCAGTCCAACACATGTCTTGCACGTCGCGTTGAGCCGAGTTCCTTCCAATCAGATAAACAAACAATAAGTTCAAGAATGGTGAACAAGTGGATAAATGCAAGATAGTCTGGTGTATCGGCACGAAGGCATCTTTATGCGCGAGTTTTCTACAAAATATATTTGAATTTACAGGGAGCTTGAAAATCAGTGGAAGAAATCCTACGTCACTTAAGTAGCCGTTTTTTGCCGACTGCAGTTTTTGCAGGCAGCAGGAAGGAAGTTCAATCTAAAACCGACATCTTTGCGCGACCGAAAACCGAAAACTCATTTCATGAGACCGATCACTGACTGTACCTCTTTCGAGGTGAAAAAATATACTCAATTACTGCGGGTTCGAGTATTGGACAGTTGGCGAGAGTCTGGCATGACAACTCTCCTCTATGTGTTGACAGTTGGCCCCTCCGGAGGCGAATACGTCTGACTTTGCTGCATAGCGCCCTTAAGGACGGTACAAAGAAACTCAAAATACCTCTCTTAAGTCCACATAAATCAACGGTGGGAATTGCAAATGTCTCGCGGAAAATTAGCAGGAATGGCGCACTGCCGCAAACAGCGGAACACTCGTTTTCATGGTCAATCAAATATCAGGGGTCCACCAAACCTAAGCCACGCTGACTAGTTGCGTTTGTATCCAACCCCTGCCGCCATGTCCAAGCTCTCAACGGACATTCAAAGCACGGACTGGCCGAACACAATGTGTTATCGACACGACGAAACCATGTTTCACAGCGTAAAACACCACCACCAGCTTTGCTGTGGGCGCCCTTTCTGCAATTGCCATCATCATCATCATCATCATCATCATCATCATCATCATCATCATCATCATCATCATCATCATCATCATCATCATCATCATCATCATCATCATCATCATCATCATCATCATCATCATCATCATCACCACCACCACCACCACCACCACCACCACCACCACCACCACCACCATCATCATCATCATTAACAGCAACAATGATCGCGAAAACGATATCAACAACAAGGACAGCAACTACAGTTCGGACATAGTTCCTACTTGTTTTCAATGGTACCGCACATACGAATCACGCGCTAGCCTACTAAGTCCTGTGCAAATCCATTTCGGTGTCTGGGACCCCAGCACGCATTCGTCAAGACTGCCTTTCCTGCCTGCACAGCCCCAAGGACGCGTCACGTGAGCATTCATGCAAGACCATGTTGAAACATAGGGATGGTCAATGTATGGGACATCGCGGTTCTACTTAGAACTGAGGCTAAAGCCTCAGTGTTTACTCTCAAATGTGGCCGCAATACCAGTCGCAATGATGCAAAATCCGAGAGCCCCATAAACGAATCCCAATGAAAGTGAAGTAAGGACCAGTCCGTGTTTGGTACTCGTAGACGGGCTGCCTCGTTTTGTCAGCTACCGCGCCCACCCATACTTCCGATACTTTTAATATGGTATCGCCACTGAAAAGAGAGGGTAGTCTGGGGCGTGTGAGTTCGGCAGATGCAACGCAAGCCTCCTATATAATAAGGACATTCACGCGCAAGTTATTGCTGGGTTCAACTGGCCGGAAGGCGGTCGAGCTCGTCATTCTCGACAATTGAACCAAGAGGTTGATCTTGTAGCGGGCAGCCATCATGACCGCTCTGGCGTCATTGCTCAAGACCTCGCTGCCTCACGGTCATCCACCCTTTTGCAGTGAGCCGTTCCAGACTAGCTGACCTGAAGTCACACGACCGACAGCTCCGGCATACCTGCGTCCACAGAGCTGCAGCTGCCCATGCAGCCACTTGAACGCACCTCCCCTTGAAACCGCAACCTAAGTCACTAGGACACCACCCCTCGGCAAATGCAACACACACTGACTGGCCACCACTTGAGCTTGGCCCACGAGCCTACAAAAGCGGCTGTGCCCACTGTCCCAGGGACAATCAGGCATGACTGGACGCGGTCAACGCCAGTCCTGGCTTCGCCAGTGGCCACTGCCGCCTGAGATGACAACTCCAGGTTCTGCATACATTTAACCCCTCATTCTGGTGCCTTCCGTCTTCTCCTTCAAACATGGCGTTTGACTTGGTAAATGCAGCTCACGCGCACACTACATTCCACATAGACGCTACATTATTGCCTGTCTGTATTATGACGCGTACAGGTGTCGGTCGATGTTATTGCCTAACGGGAATGACACTGAACAGGTCTATAAGAGTCGACGCCTCAGTATCCGCTAGCTTTGACTTCAAAATCAGCTTAACCAAGGCAGTTTGGTTCAGTCACATTTCTTGGAATATCCCTATGAAGAGGGTGTGCATCTTCCAATATTTAAGTAGCTTCTTCTATTTTTCTAGGGACGCTTTAAACGATTATCCACCTCTTCATGGGTATGATCGGATAAGGAGAGACATAGACTCCAAGCGTCATGTGTTTATTAGTTGTCTCAGTTTGCACATATCCTATAGTATTTTCAGCATTTATTATTTCAATTTCACCTCGGTCCGAAACAAGAACCCGGAGCCATAATGAATACTAGGCGTTAGCCGCCCTCTGATAGCTGCCCGCATGCTAAAGTCTCTGCTCACGCACACGGACGTCTATTTACCAACGCAAGGTCATGGAACTCGTAAGGGTGCCTTTGCTTATGAGACTAATTTACCCTCATTCGATTCAAAATGCTGAACTGAGTAAATGACTGCGGACAAGGTGGCAAGCAAGCATTTAATGAAAGGACGTTTATTTAAAAAAGTTATATTTAGCCTGCAAAAACCACTGGCATTAAGCTGAATCATTTGAACTTTTTTTCGGAACATAAAACGAGGAAGGGAACAGTAGCGGATGACTGGTACTTGATGCATGGATGTAAATAAACTATTGCTGCATGTAACGATAGGATACTACGTATCCACATTATGTAAAGAACGTGAAACAGACTCATAGCCCTCGAAAATGTTAGAAGAGGCCTGAGGATCTTTTGAAAAACCACAAAGAGCAACAAAGGCATATCCGGTCTATACATACACATTTGATGTTTTACATTAATGTGAAGAAGCGGAAATATCATCCAGCTGAAGTTTCGACGGCTTTAAAGGAAAAGTCGAATTTTCTAGACCCTTTCTGATGATAAATTCAGCATGGAAGTGATAGAAAGTACAAATTGCAGGATCCAGGGACCTCTTATTAGCTTCTGAGCTAGTTCTTAAAAATAAAAATTGTGCAAAACGCGCCAGGCATGTTCTACAGAGCGAATCTTGCACATACATTATGTCTGCGCAAATGCACGGTTAATTGACAGTTTATTTAGGAGGTTCGACTACTAAGGCCCACTGGACATTGTTCTACCAGTGAAACTGATATGATGCTATTATTGTCTCGGATTTTTCTGAAATAGATCTCCGATTTTCATTTGCCTTTTCTCAAACATCGATCAAATTTTTGTTGCGATTTTGGTCATGCCACGGCGAATTGGTTTTATGTGCTTGACTTTTGCAGCTCGTTTTAAGTGCCCAGGGGCTTGTCAGTTATCTATTGTCCTGATGTTTGACACTTAGTATAAAGCTTTAGAAAAAGTAAATCGTAAATTATGTTCGGAATTTCTACCCTCTAATTTAATTTCTGCCGCGACGTTATTTGGACAACAGACTTTACCGCCGCGCTCTTAAGCTATGCTTTTCCAACAGTTTTTAGAATAATACAAGATAACCAGCTTAGACGGCGAGGTTCTTTCCAACTATCCCGATGTTTTATCGCGCAGTATGAAAGATTCTGTGTCGCCTTTGGCAGACAATTAATGTGGTTACTGTTGTGATCGTCGATTTTATAGAGAGAAAACAAATGCTGTGCGTGGTTTGCATTCACAGTGAAAATGTAGGACTCTATAAGGAATTTCAAATCGTCTTCGTAGGTTTTTAAATCTTTTGATGTAATTTCGCGTGGACTTTCTGCCTAAATTAATGAAAAGCATTTCATAATTCGTCCAATTGTTTATTGCAACACATGAAGCGCGTGTCGAAATTCCAATGTTTACACGCTCTCGCCTGAAATTGGTCACCCAAAGTCTAATAAGGACTTGTAACAATAGATGGCTACATCCTTTGATTAGACCGAAGGTTGTCTGATTGGGATAAGGCTAGTTCAGACATTCAACCCCTAGGGACCGGAGCCTGGTGAACAAATCTGCGAATCGGTAGTCACCTCCGACTAGGTTGAAGGTGCTATAATCATTGGCATCATAGACACAGGTGAATACCCCCAAAATCTGGTGTGCATTTAGACTGCGCGTTAGAAACAACCCGTCAACCGCCCCGGAATTTTTTGCTTCGTTGAGAAAATGCTTCATTTATGACGCATTCGGATCAGTGTAAGAGCAAGATTATGGTGTGATAAAGATAACAAAGTGTTACCAGGAATACCTTGACCGCATAGATGTTTGAAGCAAGGATTGGTTAAGAGTTTCTGAGTTGGGTAAATCGAGCCTGCTGTCAGCGTCAAACGCTGTTTGCAGAAATTGCCAGTGGAAATCACGTCCTAATCGGTTGAGGTTGAACATTCTTTGAACGCTACAATGATTGTTCTGCAAGACCTAAGTGACAATTTACGTTTTTGTCATTGGGTTGAAGGTTTACAGGTCCCGCTGGAGGTTACATGGCCACTAACAATTAACAAGTGTTTACCACCAAAGACAGGAATCCCGCAATAACCATCTCTGGCTTAGTCGCTGTAATCAGGCAATGATACCCTGGCAGCACACCGATATTCGAGGCCCGAGCGGTTGATCATCCAACAGCGTCCTCAGTGTTGGACTAGAGATCCACTTAATGTTGGCAGAGACTAAGTTTGATTAGAAGAGCCATGGCCTTTGTTTTCAATTCAGATTAATTTAGAAAACTTTTCGGTATCGAATTTGCAGATATTGTCTTCTGCTGCGATGGTGCGTACATTTCGCCGCCAACTGCATTGATGACTTCCTTTTCGATCCACTATCTACTTTCTATCCAGTGAATTTACCGGTCGGCCGATAATTTTTGGCCATCTCCGAGACATGGTAAATAATACCAAGACAACCCCACTCCCTTGCCAACAAGGGCGGAGATACTGGAGTGGCTATTTCTGGATTACTTGCCATAATGAGGCGAAATGGAAGGATTAAGCTTGTGACGGCAACGGCAACTGGATTTTGCGCTTTTTAAAATGACGGAAACATCATTTGTAACCCAATCCAATATGGAGCTTGTGATATGGCATATGTCTAGGTGGGTAACCAGTATGCTGTCTTTCCTCGTGGTCGCTGACCTCTCTACATTGCCAACACTGCCAGTAAAAAAACCAAAAGGACGGAAGGGAGACTTGAAGGGCCTGGATACTTGACCTTCAGTACGATATTCCTCTCCAGTCCCGCCAAAAAATGCTTGATTGTAGATGGTTGCTTTGTAAGTACATTACCTTCGCAATAACTCACGTAGTAGAGGAATTATCTAATATACAGTGGCAAGAGTGATGCAAAATGCTCATAAGTAAACTTATCAACTACATGGAATTACAAGACATTATTAGCTGTTTGCAAAAAAGTACAGTGTTGATGTGCACGACAAGTTATATAGGACATACACCAGCATCGTTAAGTTCATGCTATGCGACATAGAGATCCCCGTTAAGTGCCCAACAAGGGTAGCTACAAGCAGAAACTGGCACACTTCGCCATAGAAAAACATGCTTATTATAAGGTGACTTATTACCCGTGTGAATAAAAGGTATGCACGAGGCGTATATTGGTGAGGAGAAATCACTGGTAATGCATTCGGCAAGGTTTAGAATGAACTCTTAGACGCATTTTCCAAATACATTGTAGTTATTGTGAAAGAATAAGAAGTCTGCGAGTCTGTCAGTGGCTCGCTGCCATGTCCTCTGGCGTTGACAGTATGCGCTCTGCTGAAACCCGTGGAAAACTGTCAAGGTGATGGTGTTAATTTGGGAGAGATTTCCTACCCATTTTGTCAGTTGCCTATCATTTAGCTGGCCACCAAATCTGTCGTGGGCTCCGAGAAACTGTTGGATAACAATGCTTCGCATGCTTTTCTTTTGGCATCTGTTGAATAGCACACATCGTTAAATGACGCCTGTGAACACCATTTAATGAATTTGGCCCAAGATCAAAGAGGTCAACACAGGGCAACCGAAAATAGACCGTGCATCGGTGAATTCACCCAGCAGAAATTGAAATGACCCTGTGGAGCTCAAAAAACGATGAAATTTGTTTAGCGAAGACAATTTATTGCGGCCTTCGATGATGGAATATCAGTTTATCAGAAAACCATAAATGCGATTTTGATTTATAGATCTTTTCACACGCGAAGTCAGTGTGTCCTCGCAGTGGGGCAACGACGTCTTCATACGCCCTCATTATGCTAAGTAGAACAACAGTTAGCAATGAGCTTTGACGGTAGATGCCATAGTGCGCATTTGGACCAAAAATCCTTTTCATTATAGTGGCTGTTAGTCGTTTTATCTTGGTGAATTTTAGTAAATGCCGCTGTATAATGATGTTGATGTTGCTCATCAGTAACAGTCAATGGTTTATGTGTTCGAATAACTTCAGAGAGCTAACATGTCGTTTGAGCTTAACCACTTAACTGAACTCGATATTTGAGTGGCCAAATCTGATGATGCATTTACTTCATTTATTAATATCGCCATTCAGGTAGGCATGGGAATTATTGGGCCATATTTTCAATATTTGAAGGACTTTGCGCTTGAAAAATAATTTTTTTCATTTTTCCTCTATCGTAACTGCCAGCTATATGCTTCAGCTATTCTCGGCTATCGCTTTCAAAAGTCTGGTTTCTCCACTGTCCTCTTCGAGTGAATTCCACTGCTCACACTGATAATATACACATATATCCTAATTACCTCTGCTACTACCCATCCTTTTTTGGTAAACTAAAAGCGTACTTTGACATCAAACATAGATTCTCAGTGAATTCTTCTGTGAACGCAGTCATATTTATATGCTGTTGATGTGGTTACCAACACTCTTCGGTATCCGAAACCGCGATGAAACGACCTGAGACGCGCGTACGCATACAACTTATCCTTCACATGCCACGAGGTCAGTGAAAATCCGAAGGTTAAATTAAATAACAAGTGGGAATATCCGGTTTATAAATTAAATAAATTAGAGCACGAATTTTTTTCAAAATAAGTTGATTTCTAAAATTACCGACCACACTTGTTTGTTCTACGCTCCCTGCCAGCACCAGCCCCGCCTAGCCCCGCCTGGCCCCCTCAATAATGGCGGGGCTAGAGGGGGCTATGAGGGGGCTAGGCGGGGCTGTGGAGGGGGCTGTGGCGGGGCATGCAACGCGATAGCCCCGCCTAGCCCCGCCAGCGAAAAAAAATGCGCAGGGGACGCCACATCCCAGCCCACTTTTGGCACCACTTTAAAATATCGTCCCCATTGTCAAATATACGAATTAATAACACACACAGATTGTAAACCGGTGGACAAATAAGAGTTTAAGCAATGAGGGACTTAAACAAAACTTCAATATATTGTGCCCATCCGCAGCTACATTCAGTGGGCGTAAACGGATGCTTTCTCCATGATTTATAAGCCAATTTTGATAAATAAGCTCCTTTTAATGCCAAAGAAGGTACAATGAGTAGTGCTTTTGAAACATATCTTTTGATGCAAATACGCTTCAAAATGCATCAATCCAGAGGGGGCTGTGGCCCCGCCCAGCCCCCTCCAGCCCCGCCTATAAAGGAGCCATGTGCTGGCAGGCGGGGCTCTGGCCCCACCCAGCCCCTTCCAGCCCCGCCTATGAAGGGGCAATGTGCTGGCAGGGCTGCGTGTTATTGACGTGGGTGATAGATTTCTGAGCCTATATAGTTCCCACAGGAGTTTCAGTTCAAATTGTATCTCAATAAAGCACTGAGAGTCGGAACTAGGGTTACGGAAGGCAAAAATTTCAGGCCCGTCTGATGCCATCTGTTTCCCTAGATGATGGATGGCAGTTCGATCATTTGAACGTCGTGTCTGATGATCGTCAATGTGTGACCAACAACAGGGTGAACCCAAGTCTGGCGTAGATTATACTGATGATAGGCTTGCGCAGCACCTGCCGCACTCCCTCTTCCTTCGCCCGACCGAGCCCGGAGTTACGACAGTCAAGAAGACCAGTGGTGGGAGATGACGCAGGAGACTGTCACGGCGTGAGCTCGCGCCTAAGTGTTTTACAACATCGTGTATGGATTTTGTTACGGGCACGCAGCCCATTGACGCATGCCTTAATGTGGTTCCCGTGTTCGGCTAGAGCAATTCCCGCGTAGCTTATTTCAAGAGAATCTGGCTTGTGCTTTGTTGTGGTTTCAAATACACGTTTGCTTAATATTCATGTTAGGACCACGTACTTCGAAGAATCGAATTCCAGACTTTGCCATTGAGATATACGCATGCGTTCTGTTTTCCTGTTTTACTGGCGCATTCAGTTTCAGATCTTCCTCAAAATATCTCACGTACCTGGCCGTCTCGCCGTCCATACTTTTCTTCGAGTTGTTTAAGCATATGAGGAGGGGAAATGGGTCGAGGTCCGAACTACGTAGACGCCACACTTAATAACTGACTAGTATTTTTCCGTTGCACAAACATAGCCGTCTGAGTTATAGGAATTAGAAAACTTTATGCGGATATCAGCATTCTACCTTGCTCCTGAGACTACTTGTCTTTTTTATAAAACACTTGTGCGATTGGCCACCATTTTACGTGACGTCTGATATATCCTATCGAACAGGCAGCCAGCTCCAACTGCTTGTCAGGACAAGATTAACCGCAATTAAGAAAAAAAAACAGGAGACATCGGTTCCACGGAAGCAGTGTTTTTCATTTGTCCTATAGGCGAATCAAACCAACGAACTGAATTCTTTTAGATTTGAGTACGGATCGTTCCTTGTACAGACCCTGTCAGCACCAGCCCAACCCAGCCCAGCCCGACCGAATTGGGCTAGGTTGTGCTACAATTGGGCTACAAGGTTGGGCCATGGTGTGGCAAGGGCTGATGTGGTCCAATTGGCCTAATCTTCCAAAAAATGCGCAGGGGAGCTCGCCTTTTAATGCATTCCCACTTCCCGTAATTAGCACAGACAGTAATATCACACATCACAAAGGCAATAGATTACGTACCACAGTATGGCTAGAGCTAGGGCGAAGTTAAGATGAACGACAACCGATAACCGGCGTGGATTCATACATGCCATCATGACGGGACGTTTAGACGATGAGGGCGACTTTATATAATTTGGTCTTAATATAGTTTATCTTAGAAGTTAAATGCATAATATGAAGCAGGTGCTTGTTTTTGCAATTTTGGAGGAAGTCAATGGCTGCAACCGCTTAATCATCCGTCGATACAAGACTGCACCCACAGCATTGTTGGAAGCGTCAGTGGACACAATCAACTGTGAATGGACGTCGAAGCTGAGATGGTGCAGCATGGTGGCACCAGCAAGAGTCTTCTTGGTTGCCTCAAAAGCTTTGTGGGCTGCCGGTGAAAGTTCAGTCGGCTTAGCCTTCGTCTTCAAAAGATCTGTTCAGGGAGCCAGTGTGGCCGCACAGTTGTGGATAAAACATCGGTAGGAACTGATAAGACCGATGAAACACAGCAGCTGCGTAGGCGTCTCAGCAGCAGCAGGGGAAGAAATAATGCTGTGCACTTTCTCTGGAAGTGATGTGATTCCATGCTGGTCGACGTAGTGACCAAAGAAATCGATAGATTTGACGCCAAGGAGAAGTTTATCGACGTTGAGTTGCAAACCGCGTTACTGGAGACAATCGAATGCTTGACAAAAGTGCGATGCATGTTGCTTATCCCGAAAGGCTTGCGACCAGTAATTCGTCGATATAGACAAACGTGAACGAGGCTCCGCAAGGCCTCATCGATAAAACTCTGGAGGAAGGCCACGTTGCGCAAATCGAAGGGCATGCGCAAAAAATTCGAACAACCACAAAGGCGTCGTGATGACGGTCTTGTGGGTGGCCTTTTCGCAACCGACATCTGGTAGTATACTCCCGCGAGGTCACTTTTGAAAAAAATGGTCTTTCCTGCCAACACATGAAAGAAATACTGGATATGGGGACTAGGATACTGAACACGGACGCTAGATCTGTTGAGACTACGATAGGCAACGCATGGTCCCCAGTCGTCAGTGGATACCTTAGGGCCTATGGACTGGAAGAAGGCCGGACAACTCCCAAATGAATCATATGTTCGAATTCGTTTCTCTCTATTGGGAGTTTCTCTGGATGAAGTCTGCACGGATGAGCGTGTATAGGTTGTCGGGTGGTGACCATGTGGTGTTTGACCGCACGCCGAATTTCTTTGGTGAAATGACAGAGCTTGGAGATGGGCAAGCGGTCCTTTCAAATGTCAGCGAAGGGCGGACTGGAAATGGTCAAGTGAGTCTCGCCTGAAGGTAAAGGAGTGAAATTACGAACGTTAAATTGCTTATTTGTGGTGTCGACCACCTTGCGATGCTTCAGGTTGACTGCGAGGCCAGAATGTGACAGGAGATCATCCCGATGATAGATGGTTGAAGTTCGGACTGCAAAACGGTCCACTGTAAACGTCGCTGGAGACCGATGCCGAGGGTGAGCAAGCGTTGTCCGTAGGTGTTGATGGATGTGCTGTTGGCAGGCTGCAATGAAAGCTGGGAAGGTTTGAGACGGTGACGCCTATGAGGCGGGAGGACACCAATCTTAGCACCGGTATCGACAAGAAAACGGAAGACGCTTGACTTGTCATTGGTATGAGAGAGGCAACTGGGTTGCAGCTGGCCAGCAGCGTTCGTTGCCATAACTGGCCTGCGTGATCGTTTAGCAATGGTGGCACTTGCAGGAATGTACATGACGGAATGAACTTGCGTGCTTTCGGACCATAGGTTTGTGAGAGCCGCCCGCGTGACGTGGAACGACGGCGTAGATATGATTGATTTCGGGTCGAATGCAGACCATTTAAGGCGGAGCACATAATGCTCACTTGGGTGCGCAGAAGGCATACAGTGTCCCTTAAGTCCTCTTTATTATCGCGTTGAGGGTTGGTCGGCGCTTTTGAGGCCTTAAAATAGAATAGGATTATTATGGCGCCCCTTGAGCACTATCAATGACTCGTCACGACATGTAGCAGCATAATGGCAGCTCGCCATAGGGAGTGTCGAATTCTGGCAATGGAGTGCCTTCTGGCTCAGAAGTAGCAACTGCATCGGTATTTTTTTGTGAACCGATGTCTGCTGAAAATTAGCACATGACCCATCGGTTGGATAACACTCTTTGATCCTGGATATGAAGTTGGCCAAATTCCCCAAAGGGGTGCTTGTGTCATGCATGACCAAGTTTGGTTTCATAGGAATTGGTTATTTATCCGTAGGACGATCAGCGAGCATGGAACGCATATGTCGCTTAAGCTGAGAGGACTTTTGGTTCCCAATCCTACTTAGGTTAAAAGTTCCCTGAGCAACTATACAGGAATCGGGTTGAGGAGTTACTTGACATCAACGGCGACATCGAATGGAGGGCTCTGCACCACGTATCAGTAACGTGTGCGTGCTCTGGTAATACGGTTCGTCAAAACAACTGCCCTAATATGCCGAAATCATATGCGGAACTGTTCGGCGTAAATAAGGACCATTTGGAGGAAAGGATACTAATGTCTAGGGAGTCTGTTTTGGGTTCGTTATCGGTCGTGGTAAAGTGAAGGGGCGTGAATTCAGAAGAACAGGTTGGCAACTTTTGTAGTGTAAACGATAATAAAAACTAGGGGGAAAAGTATGCAAAAGCTCAACTTTCGGTGGGACACGTGAAGATTCTTGCAGAAATGCCAACAAAAAGTATTAAAAAACGGGAAGAGTAATTTTTTGTATAAACTCGCGCAAAAGAAGACGTCTCGAATGTCAGTTGTAGTAGAGTGAAAACTGCCTCTGTAATATCCAGAAATTCACGATCACATATCGGCTAGTAGTGCTTATCGTCTGGGTAAGTACACGTCCGACGAGATACGACAGAGAAATAAAAACTTTTCGTGACAATTGATTAAAACGATTAGGGCTCATGAGCGCAAGCAATGGAGCAACGACACCACGCAGCAAGCGGACAAAACAAGCCCGTCAGCGCAATCCAAAACTGGTTGTATAATTTAGTATACTGGAAGTGCAATACAGAAAATGTAAGGCGTGGGCGGAAATGTGGTGAAAAACATCGAAAATGTACACAGACCTACAATAAACCTCACTTTGTTATACGACACCCTCGAGGTCCCATCCCCCAAGACAGACACAAAGCAAACACAACCGCCCGTACGCAGGGGTCATAAGAAAACACAACCATCGAATAGATTCGTCGTGGTCTCGAGGCGGAGAAGATATGAAGTCCTCTTTCGAAAAACAGATGTGTTACGGAGACGAGAACCACAATGTAATCGTGCTTAAGAGAAAAATGAACAGGCGACCACGCGCTTCACAGCAGTCAAAGCCGGCTGGAAATTATACGCGTGGCATCAGTCGGCCGATCAGGATGCGCTGCTGTACTGAATATGCGTAAGCCCTTGCTCACGCGTGCGGTCGAAAAATTCGGGAAGATTCTGCCAGGTGGATCCATCGTGAGAAATGACCAATTAACATGCTATACGCCATAGTTCAGAATATTCTAAAATGCCCGCCCTGATTGGTGCCCCATTAGCCGGAGGGTTGGGGAATGGCTTGAACTCCAAAAAGCAGGTAAGATTTGATGAGTAAAGGGATCCGCTGCTATCCGCGGACCGAGAATAAAATGTTCGCTTCCAAACTCACCTTTCTCCACTTCCGTCACACTCGTCTTAATAGGATAACCTCCGTGTCATATTTTAAAAGATCACTGTTCACACGCATTCTTAAGGGGAAAATGAATTTTTTTGATTGTTTAACCTCATAAACAAACTGCTCTGAACTTCGCGGCCAAAGCGCATTCTCTGAAATTATGAGGGGATCAAGAAAGAGTGAGCTGTGTTTTCTATTTCGTTATGCCAATTTTATGCATTCAATCAATTAACTCACACGTTAAATGCCCGGGTGACATTTTACTACATTTTTGTTAGTCGTCCTGCTTCTGGTAATTTTAGAATTCCATATATCCTTAGAAGTACATCCAGGGAACCCTATCATGCGTTTCATCAGCGTGTTATCATGCGTAGATTTCTTTCGGCACCGTGTTTCGGTCTTTAATTTTTTCTGCTTGCTTATTGCTATCCTCTTCCACCTTTCCACTACACTTTTTGACTACCATTTATGGTATAACAGGATCATGAGCTACTATAGTAACTACTATGATCATAGTAGCTCATGGGAGCAAACAAGTACTGTATGTGTAGTTCACGACTTTACCCACTCTCTATGGGAATTGTCCTCCTAGTATTGCTTCTTACTCCCTCGTGGCCTCCTGCTGCACACACATTCGTGATTAACTGTCCAACTGTCTCTCTGTTGTGGGTACAAGCGTCACGTATGCTGAACTTCTTGGACACCTTTCTCGAGTCACGTTTAAAAAGATTCACCCCAATTCTCAGGGGAACCCCCGCTTCCTTTCCCTTCGAATGACCTGATCACCGACGTAGCTACTTAAATAGCTTATTACGAGGACATGTTTTCCGTATAACGAACGCCGCCCGCGATTTATGAATCCTGCTGGTTCCCTTGATATTATTCCAGCACCCTTTGGAGATTGGTAGGTAAGGATGTAAAGAACACTGCAGTTTCCCTGTAGTGTCTGATCATGCTTCTTTTGTGTAAAACGCGTGTAATTTTGGGACGCATCCCGCCCTGCAATCCTAAATTGCCCGTTTGAGCACAACGAAGAGCAAGCCAGAGGATTATGTTCACATGTTCATTATGTTCATATCCACTGTACTCGTATGAGAATAAAGTAATTTAGCGATTTTTACTCACATAAGTTTACGTGAGGCATTCTCACATTTATTTGTGTACCGTGCCCTGCCGACGTTCCGCTAACGATCCTGCCACACGTCTCGCAACCTTCTTGACAAAATCTAATTAGCTAACCTTCTTTCCATCGATAACTGGCTACCCAAAAAATTGTACGCAGTAAGTTTCGTTCTTTCAGGCTTCTTCAAGTAATTATGTCCTCTGCAAGCACGTTACTCATAGTAAATAGATCATCCTGGTTTGGCAATTCTGAATTTGAGATGTTCGTCCGACAATACATATAACAAAAGACCAATGCTTTCTTCACTTTTCTTACGGAATATGTCATACGCTATACATCACATAAAAGCGATGATTTACAAACTCGATTGCTAGAAGAAGAACGATTTCCTATTTTTATTTCATTCCCTCGATCTTCATCAGTGGCAGCCGTTAGAGCTGCAGCAAGTAAACATTTCCAATATTTAATCGCCCCTTAAGGCTCCGAGGTAGTGTTCATAGGTAGGACAGAATGAACACGTTCCTTTCTTCAATAGGCCTATTGGTACGGCACTTTCAAGTTACCTTGAATATTTCGGATCGCTGCTACAGAGATGAGTTTAAGGTATGAGTGGCAAAGTTTAACTCAATGACCGAATAGATCTGGACCCACTTTGCGGACCATGCAGACTGAAGATTGAATTATGGATGAACACTGATGAAGAGCTGGTCAGAATAAATCTGTCCGGTCCTTCTCGTCTTTGTAGTTTGCCTGTCTTTATTTATTAGTGCATCTTCAGAATTTGAAACGCCGTCTCATAGAATCTTTTACAGGTTTGCGGCCTAATTTCAATATATGACTGTTTGCAAACCTTGAAAACACGTCGACGCACGAGTTCAGGCGGATATGCGAGTCAGGTTCTTTCTGGAAAGAATATAAACGTGCGATCATCGGAACAGGTTGATTAGCGTGAGGTTTCGAAGTCATACACATCGACTCAAATTACTTAGAACTTGCAGTCATTCTTAAACCAAAATAATGGAAGTTTTCAGCAATTATGTGGACAGAACAGCTAGTCTATACCACCCGACAATGTGAACTCGTATGTGACCCTGCAGTCTACGCGTTTTTCCGACCCTTCTAAGAAAACTGAATTGACATCTCGTAAGACCCGGTCGACGATGAAAAAGTAACCTTGAATTATTTCTCCTCGACAGCGACAGTTACACGTGGCTGGGAAAGTTCTCAATGGAAAGCTAGCGTACTAAGGTGTAGGAATTAACTGAGGGGTTTGTTCTGTGCTCTACAATAATACAATCCCACTGCGTTTAATAAGCTCTGGTGCCCATTAAATCTTATCCCTTCTCGTCACCACAGTAGGTTCCTTTAATCAGACTTCCATATCCTAGTCAACTTGTGCCTTTGAGACTTTTCTTGAGGTCTCTTCTAATTTCACTTCGACGACTTGCCTTGACTGCACCTTAGACCTAGGGCATTTTCGTTAGCATATTTTTTCACATTTATTGCAGAAGTCCTTGTTCCACGTACGGAGAACTTAAAGCTACACATTCTTTTATTATAGATACTCTTCCAGGCGGCACATTAATATCCTTGAGTAAGAAATTCTTTCGTGCTGGTGATTTTTTCAAACTTAGGTGGCAAGTCAAGACGGCCGCTAACTGATGTCAGCCGAGGTAACCCTCCCATTAAAAAGCCCCGACCAGATGTCCAGGAAGGTTAGTTTATCTGTGACGTATTTTTGAAGCTTCAGTAAAATTGCATATGGTTTTTGTATCGATAGCTGTCTGTACTTGGAACTACTATGATAATAGTTGTTGTCTTCAGAATGAGCCTGTGCCACTTTTTCTTGAGATTCTGCAGTTGTCAGTTCAAAAGTGCATTGCAAAAAACCCCAAAGAGGTCTTTCTCCACTGTCCACCCAGATATATCTAGAGCT